TGTTCAGTTGCCTTTGTTTGTGAAACCAATAGCTATAAAGATGATTTTAGAATGTCTTGTATTAGAAAAGATCAACTCTGTGACGGCGTCATTGATTGTTTCAACGGAAAAGACGAATCAGATTGCAATGAATGTATGGAAACATCTCTGTCTGATGGGACGTGTCTACCCAGTCAGTGGTTTTATGACGAGTCGAGACGGAACTTTTCTTTCTCACGTCGTGATAGACCGCTCGACTCTGAGAAGATCTTGTTTGTTGATAAAGTCTTGTCAACATGTAATACAATAGAATGTGTTCATGAAAAGAAACTGCATTTAGAAATTATAAAATGCAAAGTGAAAGATAACATTCAAGATGTTGCATACTTGTTTGCGCACAAGTATGAAAAGAAAAATCAGAATCGTTGGACAGCGCGATGTGTTTATCTAAAGGGTCAGTACAGCGGTCAGTATCTTGGATGTGAAGACAATTCACATTTGAAAAATTGTAAATATTTCGTGTGTAGTGAAGGTATGTTTAAATGCCGAATGTCGTACTGTGTTCCTTATTACATGATCAACGATGGGGTCATCGATTGTCCGAATAATGAGGACGAATCGATCGATGAATTAAATCATATCTACATTGAAAATTATTTCGAATGCCGTGCGACTGTAAGCATGATTCACCCAGTGCATGTTTGTGACGGTAAGGAGCACTGTCCTACTGGAGACGATGAGAGCTTATGTTATGATCATTGCCCAGCTGGCTTTATGTGTGATTGGGGTGTTCTTTCAGTTGCTGACCCTGACAGCATCTCGTATACTGACGCTTTTGGCGAGATAGATTTTAATGTTAATGCTATTAATATTGCTGACATTGATTTTCAGCAGTTCCAAATCCGTCAGATAAACATAAAGAAATTTGCACTCCTACGTCTGTCAAACTGCAGCTTACAAGACGATCTGTTGTACGAGTTACTGAATGCCATACACATATACATACACGACATGCAGTCTGTCGACTTAAGCCATAATCCCTTGCAAGTACAACCCATTAATCTTAAACCCACTAGAAATTTAAATCTCTCTCACACTAACATTTTTTCTTTTAACATAGATTCAAATATTTTAGAGTCATTAGATTTGTCATTTTCAACCTTACAAGTGTTAACTATATATAGCAATGTATTATTATTTATTTTCAATTTAAATGCTAGTAACACAATGCTTAAGATCATTACGGTTGAGAGCTTGGATTTAACTATTCAGGTATTGGACATAAGAAACACACAATTAACCTACGACAAAATTTTATCTGTAACTTTGAAAATGATACCTATAACCTATGAGTTATATGGTGATAACTTTAAATTATGTTGCAGTGTGTTTAGTGGAATAAATCCGCATACTACTGTATGTTTTGCCCCAGAAGACGCAATATCTTCCTGTTATGGTCTAATGGGTGATATCTACAAACGCACTTTAACAACTACCTGTTCCATTATAGGTGTTAAAGGAAATATTTTCCTTATTTCTTTCAACATTTTTTGTGTGAACTTCGATGTGCATCATACGGGATTTATGTTGTATCTAACAAATCTTCTGGTGTCAGACCTTTTGATGAATGTCTATCTACTGATAATCTCTGGAGCCGATCTCTACTATCTACAGAGCTATGTCATGTATGACATTGAATGGATGGAGAGTCCACTTTGTAAGACTGCAGGATTTCTCGCCACCCTCTCCTATGTAAGTTCTGCCTTCTTCCTGTTACTATTATCATTGGATCAAGTTGTTCTGACTCGCCCAAAACAAGACAACATTAAATCACATTTGGTTTTTGTTGTTTCAACTATAGCTGTGTGGTGTATTGGTCTTATCGTCTCTCTACTGCCTTTATTAAAACCAGAATGGATGATTTATTCGGCCAACTCAATGTGTCTTGGTCTACCCTACTATGTCCAGGATTCAACAGGATGGTTGTTTTCTGTCTATGTGTTTTGTTTGTTCATATCTTTATCCATACTTTTTTCTATTGCATTTTTAATTAAAATAAAAACAACTTCTGTAGAAATAAGCTCGACGATTCAAAACAAAAACAACATGGGCAACGTTAAAAACTTACTTCTGATTTCAATACTCTGTTGGTTTCCAGTTTGTGTCACATGCTTCTTATCAGCCATAGGTCAAACGGTTCACCAAAGCGTGATAGGTTTTGTGTCTGTGTTTGTAGTGCCGTTAAAATCTGCTATTAATCCATATATTTGTATCTGCCCACTTGCCTACAGAAAATGGATTCAATTTAAAAGCGGAAATTAAACACGACTGAATTATTATTTTTTGCCGGTCGATCCCGACTCATATCAACAAAACCAAACTATTCAGGTACTTCTTGTCCTCTTTTACTCTGCAACTGTATACGACAGAGAACGTCTTATTCAAGACATCCAGATTTTAGGACATTTGAAAATTATCTAGCTTCCGATCTATTACGCATCACCTTGAAAGAGAAAAAACCATTAATAGGGTTGAAGATCCAGGTCTATAGATTTTGACTTTGCAAGATATTTTTTTCGCATGTATAGTTTGGCGATTAATTTGTGTAGTTTAATAATAACTGATGTTAAATTAATTTAATAGTTTGCAATTAGGCGTTAAAGTATATAAAATCAAATGTATATCCCACTTGCCTACAGACAATTGGAGGATTACCAATGAGACTATTAGAATCACCAAAGTTTATTGCGGTATTTTTTGATGCAGGACCAACGTAATGAAATTAGTCAAATTCTAGTTTTATAACCGCTTGGACTTGTTTTTCTTCATTTATGACACAGAGCTGTAGCAAATATTCGTTCTCACATTGCCATCTTCAATTTTACCTCTTATGATTTTAAATATATGGTGGTGCTGCACAAAAAAATGTTTGAAACATTTGTGAAATTTGTGTCAGTATATTTTATGAATAAATTATCCAAATTATTACAACAAAATCATAAAGCTTAACGTTAATATATTTAACGTATTTTTTTTTTATTTTTTTTTGTAAACTTGGTTTTCTGATGTTAATCATTTCTTTTATGTAACCAACTTGTAATTTGACTTGATTTCATTTTTACGTCGTTTGTTCTTAATTAAAACTGAATTTTGTGAATCTATTTATATTTGTATTATTTTATTACAATCGTATTACCGAGCTAAAAAAAACTTTTAAAGAAATTATATTTAATTATAGAATATACAGGTATAAAATTCCTTCACCAATTAAGTTAAGTTTTAAAATATCAAAAAAGAAGACTAGAGTACTACAGATTAAAAAAAAAAGTAAAGCCAAGAAATGTTGTTTTCACAAGGTAAAAAACAACAACGGAAAAGTTAAATTAAAAGATTGACAAATGTGTAATGTTTATTTGACATGTATAAAATGTAGATTGATAAGTATTTAAAGTTTTAATGCATGACTAATTTTTACTTGTATGTTCATTTTGGGATTTGTTTGAAGTTTATGTACGCAAACGATAATAGTTTGTTTAAATTGTTTTTTTTTTAAATCTTGAGCCTTGTAATAAAATACTTGTGGTTTAAAAAAGTTTCAAGTGAATATTTTGTAGGACTCTGCAAAAGATTGGATGCGAAAATTGTTTAAAAAGCCATAAAACAATTGTTCTTTACTTTTATCACGGAAAAGGTAAAAATATTAATACCACCATTGTTTGGATTAAAAATTACTACAAAATGGGTTTTTTAGAAGACGGGAGCCTATTTGTCATGAGCCAACATGTCGTGGTCTGTTTGTCGTTTGCTCTGTTTGTTAGGGTCAGTTTGACGGAGGCCGTTAGAAATGTATATCACTATGCATTTATGTGTATTACTAAATACAGTGTACATTGAAAAATATGATATATATGACGAGACGAAGACATATGGGCAATTGGTGTGGGGTGTCAGTTAGGACTGAAATCAGAGTTGTCTTACGTTGAATTAAATAAAACTCGTGATTTTATGGCTTTCAGCTAAACAATTTTAAATTTCAAAATACTGCAATTTTTGGGATCTCAAAATTGATGTAAAATTTGCATAAACAATCATACACATGCTTAAAGAAAAATAGAATGCAAGAATATCACAATAACTCCTCACATCCCTACAACAGCATTGTTATGAACATTACGACTCACACAATCACCCAACCAAAATACGACCTCCCCCCCCCCCCCATATCATCCCTCATGTAGTTCCACCACACTAGATATCAAGTGTGACTCACAACCCCTACCACCAACACAATGACCCCTACACAACCCCTACCACCAACCACTAACACCATGACCCCTCCACAACATCTGCCACCCAAGCCACCCACAACATGATCCCCACACCACGGTGTCATCATTCACAACTTAGCCCCCCCCCCCCCCCCCAAAAAAAAAACAAAAAACAACTAGCATCTCATTATAACACAAAACACAGGTATAACAATACATAATAATTTTTTTATTAAAGTATAACATTAGAACATCGAGTTAACACAAAATATTGATAGATAACATCAATAGTTCAACAAACAGCGATTATCTTTCAAACGGTAATCGTTGTGTAAGGTAATAATAATGATTTATTGACGTCAATTTCTTTGAGCGTTGTTCAGTAAAAACAACAACTAAGCTTCAATAAACCTAGAGGTCTTGGGTTCGAATCCTTGTTCCAACCCAAGTAGGGTTCGCGGCTACAGGGTGGGGTTTAATCATTTTAACCAGGTTTTTCTCATGCATGCTAGCAATCAGTTACATGGGAGGGTGTGCACTAATGACGTCATAAACCGTAAGGCAAGATGATGGTTAGGGGGGGGGGACAAGTTTTAATGACAAATCGCTACAAAAGGGGGTGGTAGTTGATCAATGTGAAATTATGAAAAACATGCTAGTTATCGTTGTAAGTTGTAATCGTTATAGCCTGGTGTCTTAATTCCGGGGAGGGGGGGGGGGATTTGTGAAATGAATAACAACATGTCGGGGGTAGGGAAAAATCAGTTAAGTTATAGATAATTCGTGTATGGAACATGCTTTTTTTAAAGGTACCTCTTGCACAACAGAGCAAATATTACAAACTTGTGAATTCCATATTGACGCTCAGCTAAAGATGAATGAATCCATGTAGGTGTGTTAGTCTGATGCATGTACGTTCAAAGCCTCTAGGACTGTCGTAAAGGGTTAAACAAAGGGAAAGTCTTGCATGAGAGTTGGTTAAAATTACGGAGCAACACAAGCCTAAAGCAATCGGTGACTCGTCGCCATCACCGCAATGCGTTTACCGGAAATTTCCGGCAGTGCCATACCGCTAACCGCCTCTTCCCCGGCGTCCGAAGGAGCCAGAACGTAGCCTATACTTTGACTTTTGAACTCGACCTTCTGTGACCCTGATCCCTTTGAACTATTCTGTTTATGCGAACCGCTGCTGTTCTTGCCAGGATTCGAATCTGAAAATTTTGAGCCGTGTGTTTCTTTACTCTGCGTCGCTGTTTTTTTCGCACCGCTGTCTTCTCGTGGGTGAGTCAGCAACAAATGGTTCCTGACGTATGTCCGTATATCGCTGTCGACGTTTCTTCCCACGGGGTTATGAATGAATGAAAAAAGTTCAGGGGATGCGTTCTTCTCCGTCTGGTTGTGTAGATGATTAAATGCGTTCAACGCCGCCATAAACGATACAGCCTCCGCTTCATTTCCGGGTTTTGTTTTATTAGAGTTATCCTTCCTATCTTGCCCGACACGCCGCGCAGCGATTTTTTGTTGGGGTGTGAGTTTCTCTAAAGGTCGCAGGATCGTGTCCGCGCGGGACGTAGAGAAGGCGTTACGGTCTTGTTTTTGAGCGGGGTTGGGGGGCTCTTGTGACGGGTTGCGGGCGCCGAGGCTCGGTGCGCTGTCCACACGGTGCAAGAACTTAGTTAACTCACGTTCTCCCGTATACCACAGCGGCGATTTCCATGACAGGTCTTCGTGGATAACATGCGTAGTAGGGTTAATGTATTTCGGTTCGTTGTTGACACTAGAACTACCCTGTTTGCTGAAGTAAGTCAACGGTGCGCTTCTTGTATACGCGTGTGGATCACTTGCGTAGTAAGGATGATCGTGATTTTCGTGGTTGAGAAAAAACTCTCCATCTCGCTGAGAATGACGTCTTTCGGGGTCGGGGTTATTTTTCGATAAGTTATTTTTAATCGTTCGGTAAATCCCGTTGTTGGTGATGTATCTGTACGTCCCGGGTTCGACATTGGCTTTCCAGATTTCCTTCGGGGAGTCAAAGTCTTCATGGACACACCGAACCCTAGCATTGGCAAGGTCGGTGTCTGGAGATTGCTGTTTTAGCTGTTTTTTCTTCGCTTGGTTGTTCTTTGAAACGGAGTTCGCCGCCCGTGGGAAGGAGGTGGAGTTGCCCCAGCCGCAAACCATGTCATCCAATGCGTCACACCGCGGATCTCCCCTCCCCACCAGCTCCAGAGCATCCAGATGGTCCCCAGCTTTCAGTAAATTTTCCACCAGCGTTCTTGACTCAATTTCAGTCACGTGATCATGGTGCGCGTGGTCAAACGTCAGCGTGACGTCAGCGGTGACGTTTTCCTCCAGTTTTATTGATTACCGACCACTGCACGACATTTTAAAAACCACGCGGGTCAGCTGGAAAGATGAACGGATTAGGAAGATGAGATTAAAAGATTAAGTAGGTGAGATAAGTGAAGCAATGTGTCCAAACAAATCCAGCATCAATGATCTTGATCTTTTCACTAACCCTTCCTCTCACATGTGAGTCGATATGCTCATTCTAAATTTACTCTAGTATTCTCAAAAATTTGAATGGTCTTCACTGACTCATTGGAAAACTTCTAATTTTAGGTAACACTTGAAGAAAACAGCTAAAACATTTTGTAGTCTGCAATTTATCCAAGGGCCAGTAAGAATTCCTCTTAAATTGTGCTCATTTTCTACAATTTATGTGTGTGCCATCTCAGCTTCAACATGGCCCATCTATGATTTACACAATCACATTTTATTAAACTGGATTGCGGGTCTTTAGAAAGGGAAATAACCTGTGAAAATACGACAACAAATTAGAACACAAATGTAGATGAGAACAGAACCTTACATAGTCCAACCTTATATCGTTAAATAAGCTGATGAATTTGTAAATTAAAGAAATGTTTAAATCTATCAAATTATCAATACTAATATAAACAATGAGATAAAGAAACACCTCTCCTAACAAGACATAACAGAAATTACACCAAGTGGTGTATATGTTACGGTCAAAGCCCGAAGTCGGCCAATGCTAGGATTGGCCGGCCAATCCGCGCATTGGCCAATATCGCCTCACATAGGTTGGTCAAAGTCCGAAACTTTGTTTGATTTCGGCCTTTGTCCGGCCAATCCGCAGACTGGCCATGGTGGAATGGCCAAAGTCTATACATGTGCAAGATTCAGTCACGAGCTTCTTACCAAAACAAAGTTTCCGACATTTAAATCAGATATGGGGCAAGGGTGCATCCAAAGTATGACATATATGTGGGCACACCTTAGATCTACTAATAAGTGGGACCCGTTCACACCGTTGTAATAACTTAATACATACACGAACAAGCATTATAAAGTAAATAAATATGCACTATAAAATAATCACGATCTCTGAAAGAAATGTCATCACTTTCGACCATGAGCCAAATCAGCATTAACGGGTACCCCGCATGATAGTCGAAAAAAAAAATTCATTTTTAAAAACTCCGCCATCTCGTTGGCTCTCTACTAATGAAAATAAAATTTCTGTTTACGTTGTTTCTGTAACTGGGCCAGAACAAGGTTGTAGAGCAGGGGTTCCCAACCTTTTTTTACTCTAGAGCACATTCTAAAATACCGGTAGGGTGGCGGGCACCACCTATTTTAAATCGACAAACTCCTTCCAGAGGCGTAGGGATAAAACTTTCGATTTGCACACCCCCCCCCCCCTTCAAACTTTCGATTTGCACCCCCCCCCTTCAAACTTTCGATTAGCACGCCCCCCCCCCCCCCTCAAATGTTCGATTTGCACCCCTCCCTCAAACTTTCGATTTGCACACCCCCCCCCTCAAATGTTCGATTTGCACCCCTCCCTCAAACTTTCGATTTGCACACCCCCCCCCCTCAAATGTTCGATTTGCACCCCTCCCTCAAACTTTCGATTTGCACACCCCCCCCCCCCCCCTCAAACTTTCGATTTCCATCCCCTTCAACCTTTCAATAATGTATATGAAAAAAATTCTGTCTCTGTCAAATAATGAAAGGCGGGCTCATACGAATCGTTGGGCGGGCGCCGTGGCGCCCGCGGGCACGGGGTTGGGAACCCCTGTTGTAGAGAATTGTTTCTTCTTCGTTCTTAATTTTAGTGGGATCGAGCCTTATCTGCCAGAGGGTTGAACTCGAGACTTTTTCGAATGTATCAAAAATTGACTCCGATTTCAGCATGCTTTTCTTTTTGGATTTGATTCCATAGCCTTTGTTCAACCAAGAACATACTACAAGACAGCAGTTGTTTGATTTTGGAGTTGTCTCTCCTAGAAGAGTGGCTGCCCCAGCTACTGCCCGAGGGTTCGAACTCGAGGCTTTTCGACCACTTCGACCCCCTAAGAATTGTTTAAAAGAAACCTAAAATATGACGGACATTTGAGTTGTGTGGCGGCGCTGTTGTGAAAAGACCTGTTACATTTTTTAACAGACAGACCAGTTTGTTTGAGTGTCAAGATCGATATATCTATTCTTCGACACCCCGGGTTTTGTCTTCGTTCCACGTGAGCGATGGAGCGTGCAATTGTTCCTTTGGCAGAACAATGGATACACACGTTGAATGTAATACAACGGTCACGCTGTGTGATTATTGATCACGTCAAAGTAACACACACACACACAGACACACACACACACGTACATGGTGGGTTCACGTCGACTTCCTGCATTATGACGTCGCTGTTACCATAAACAATCCAAAACATCCGACTGAAACAGATGAACTCTACTTCACCTGCCCTGATGACGTTAGGTGGAGGACATCAAATAATTGACCAGAGGCGTAGCGAGAAGGGTTGGGGGTACATATGTCCCCGGGCAACGACCCTACGGGGAGCCAAAATGGGTTTGAAAAAAAAATTAAAAGCTGATTTTAGCTGCAGTTTTGCATTTTAAATATAAAAATATATGGGGGGGGGGGGCGCCAAATTGAAAGTTTGTCCCCGGGCGCCGGGAAGGGTCGCTACGCCTCTGTAATTGACCGAGCTGCCCGTTGCAGAATTTCTTTAAAAAAGGTAAAAGACCGAGAAAGATGGCAAAGAAATTTGGAAAAAGAAACGTGATTGAACTATCTTAAAGACATATTTATACGTCTCTGCGCCAAGAAAAATCTCGGTGTGCCACAAGGGTCAGAGGTGTAATGGGAATATTAATGCTTTGTTATTTTTTTAAATGCCTTTATTTAATTAACTCTTCCAATCTGTCGATTAGTTATCAATGTATGTTGCAAATGTTGATTGTGTTTGTACGGCAAAAATGACAACAAAAATTTTACGAACTTCCTCATTACAAAAATTACTCGTAACTTCGTAGTAATACACACAACAACACCCTTCATAGAATAAGGGAAGCACAAAATTAATATTCATAGATATGATGAATTTCTTACATAGTAATAGAATACTGTTATCACTATATAATAGAAAACATTAGATTCTAGTGAGAATTTTGTAGTAGACGTTTGCTACGCTACAATATTAAAATTATAAAAAGAGATTTATTTCAAAATATCTTCAACAAAGATATAAGATACCTAAAAAAAAAGTTTAACAGTGTATCAAAACAGTATATCTGTGCTATCATTAAAATCGGGACTGCGAGGTCAAATGGTAGAGTGTTAGGCTGCTATCTCGAATGTCTCGAGTTCAGATCTTAGTTCGGATCTATGACTGTAGGACATCACTAAAGTCCACCCAGCTCTGCATGGTACCTGATTTACGTTGGAGAAAGTAAAGGCGGCCGCGCATAGTGCTGATCACACATATTCCTTCATATGCCTAGGTCAAGAAACACATGAACTCTACTTCATCTGCCCAATGGATCGCTAGGTCTAAAGAGGAACTTTACAATAATAAAAATCAGAAATGTGGGCCTACAATTTTGTTAGCCTTAATTATCGCGTAACAGTAAGAAACATAAAAAAACTGTATAACATATAATTGTTACTACAAATCACAAATCACGATATTAGAGATACCTTAAAAACAATGCCAAATAAACAAAAAAACAAAGAAGTTACCTACTGTTCTGTGTAGAACACTTTACATTCTCGCACACATCGCCACAACAAAGTTTGTTTTAGCACACACCACCACAGGGGGTTATACCAACAGGAACTTGTCTTCCTCTAATGGCTTTATCTCCGGGTCCTAACCCACAGCAACGCGTGCCCTACACAAGCGGTTCTCAACCCACACCTACCCCACCCTACTAACTAACCTTACAGCTAGTCGATCCCCGTTTGCTCTGGAGCCGTGAGACACACTGGCACCACGACACAGATATGAACACGCTGTCCCGAACAGGTGTAGGAAGGTCCCTTCTACACACGTTCGTAGATCAATAATAGAACGAATCCGATCGATTGATTTGTGTTATCGATTAACCTATACGTAAAGGACGCCTGCTGTGGTAAGCGAATGATCAATGCAGATCAAAGAAATGTCATAGGTAATAATCAATTATCTATCACCTCTTCATGAATAAGTTAAAAAAAAGAAAAAAGAAAATCTATATTGAACCGAAAAAAAAAGTAGGTGCATTGAGGAGTGGATTAACTTAGTAACATAATGAAGACAACACAAATGTAAATGTGTACGCATATAAGTACTATTATGTAATAAAAAGATATTTTGTACTTATACCCTTAGGGTAAGCTGTGTACAGTTTATGCCGAATTAAAACTTTTAAAACTGTATGTAAAGGTTCTTCCCCCCCCCTAACGTTTATTTTAAAAAACACGTCTCTTTCAAGGGCGTCCATAAATGACGTCACATTTCTAAGGGGAAGAGGGTTTGTTATTTGTGACAATGTGTGTTGAGGGCAGAGTTTCTTTCAGGCATCTCTTCTGGTAAGAATGTCTGACCCCCCCCCCCCCCCCCACCCCGGAGAAAAATGTCTGAAAGAATCACTGGGTGAGCGTAAGATGGGAGGGGGGTGGTGTTCATGTTCAGATAGTGTGACGTCACACTAATGCATTTTTAAAAAGTCGTGTAAGAAACTGAATTTTAGCAGTTTCTTCCACGGTTTAGAAAACTGTTTTTGTAAATTGTAAAACAAATTTATTAGAATACTCTACCCAGCTCAGTCAATATTTTTTTGAAAGAAATCGATGTTTCAACAAAATTTTTACTGTAATAGGGTTGGTAATAAAACCTCAATAAAACCTGCATGAGCCATAGAACTGGTTGGTGACCTACTTACCAGCCCTATTTTGTAGGCTGAGGTGTGACGTCACATTTAGGAGGGTCTGGCTTTTTGTTACAATAAGTGATGATAGTGATGGAAAAGAACGTGGCGTTATTTAAGGGCGACCGACCCCCCCCCCCCCCCCCCCCCCCCGCCCTTCACAGCAATCTCCAGTTTGGGAACATCAGCAGAAATAACTTGGCCTAAAGATGGTGTCAATAAAGGAAACAAAATGCGCGGGGTCTCCAACTAAGTTTCCGTATGGAGCTAGATATAAATGCCAAAGAAGAGCAAATCACCAAGGAAATTTTTTGGTCGAAATTGGGAATTTATTGTATCCTTCTTACAAAATCACGCCTTAAATTAAAAGCTAATTTTTTTAAAAATGATTTTAGGACAACAATTATTCAGAGTTTCTTTCCAGTATCTCATCTAGGGGGTGGGGGGGACGCAACCTAAGAGCACGTTGACCCCCCCCCCCTTCTGTAAATGAAATAGAAAAAAAAATTAAAAAATATATAGGTTGCTTAAACTAATGTGACCCCCCCCCCCCCCCCTCCCGAGAGAAAAGTAAAATGTCTAAAAGGAATACTTAAATTGTCAGCGGAAAGGGGGATAAACTCTTCAACTACCCCTGCCTTAGCAACTTAGCAACTGACACTTTAGCCTATATATTTTTTTTTTATTATTTACCCCCTCTCTTTGGGGATTGACTAGAAATGCTATAGGGTCTATTACAGTCTGATGGTCGACCAGCAGAGGCGTAGCGAGAGGGGGCGGGGGTGCGGACCGCACCGGATGACACCATTTAGGGGGTTGACACCAAGGCAAAAAATAGCAAAATATATAGAGAAAAATTATAATTCCACTTAATTAAGTGATTAATTCGAGTGTTAAATAGTCTTTTAAGAGGTGCAAATCGAAAGTTTGAGGGGTGGGGGGCGGGCTGCAAATCGAGAGCTTGAGGGGGGGGGTGCTAATCCAAAATTGAAAGTTTGTTCCCGGGAAGGGGGTGACACCATTAAGTGCCGCACCGGGTGACACCCGACGTCGCTACGCCACTGTCTATCAGGGCAGTATTTCTTCCAGGCATCTCTACAGCCCCCCCTCCCCAAACGAAATAGAATTTATAAATTTATATAGAAAATATATACTAATTACCAGTGTCCGCCCCCCCCCCCCCTCCGGAAATGTTAGTACGCCCCCCCCCCCCCAACACCGAAAATTTAAAGGAACCTTTAAAATGTAGATCTATACAAAATGTGTTGTTCTACATTGCTATCTTAAGTCTTAAAAACTCTTAAATACATACAATTATATTATAACATAATAAAATAATAATTAGTTGAGGTAATAAATAAGTAAAATAAGGTAAGGAGTAGCAGTAGGCCTAGATCTATTAAAATTTATTTCACTACAAATCAAAATTATCTATAATATCATTAACAAAAGTTTAATACTTACAAGAATAACAAACCATTTTTTAAATATGTTTATGCAGTAGATCGAAGTCTATTTGAAGGTTGAACTATTAGAGTTGTTTTTACAAGCTTTTATTTAACTCACTTCCTCTGTCTGTCGTCAGTCTAGACGGAAACGCAGGAGTGAAAATTCGGACAGTTCTACTTGACCAATACGATTCACAGTTGGCACGTGGGTCAAGACATGAAGACAATGCAATCTGAATCTAAATTTGACTTAATTGGATGCCTAATTAATTTTTTATGAATTAATTAAAATTTGGACCGAATTAGTAGGCATGTCTAGCCAACCACACCACACGCGTCATCACCTTCAATAGCTGCGCCATCACGTAATGGCTGCGTTCAAAAACCATTGCGCGCCTACTGAACGTGATGTTCATTAGCGCGCAATGGTTTTTAGTCATGTAACTCTATTGTAAATAAAACATGTAAAGTACTGAAAAAAAAATTCATAAAAAACGTTTTAATAACAAGCTTTTATGTAATGATGCACTAAAAAGTAGAAAATAAATTATAGACTACTATTTAAATAACTATAAAGAAAAGCGTGGGTGTCTTCCTTAACATTAGTAAAGGTATCCAATAGATACTAAAGTGACCCACGCTTTTCTTTATAGTTATTTAAATAGTAGTCTATAATTTATTTTCTACTTTTTAGTGCATCATTACATAAAAGCTTGTTATTAAAACGTTTTTTATGAATTTTTTTTTTATCATAGGCTACGTACATTCAAATACATTGAGTAACATTGTGATCAATAATGACTTTTTACTTGCTCTTTTGTAAGGTAAGGTAAGATTGTGCTGTAAAATGTACTTCCTTTAGAGCTTTTCCGCTTGTAAATAATTGCAGGTTGGTACTTGGCTCATTTATCGTGTAATTAAATAAAAGAACATTTCAAGATGAGTCAGCTGGGAAATACAATGACAAAAAGGTAAACATATTTTACTTGATGTGGAATATATTTGTATGTTTATCTAGTTTCTAAACTGATAGATCTACTTCATTCATGGGCGTAACTAATGTAAACAACCTCTCACACTGACACCGTGGACTACTCGGAGTACACACAGCCCACCTACGCCCTACCATACACCACACCTCTGTCTCTGCAGTCTACATTCTACATAGTCTAAGTCTAGACTAAATCTAACGTTTTTCGAATGACAGATCATTAATATCATTCCTGAATCCGATATTTTTACTTGAGTTTAAAACTTTTAAATTATTAAATTAATTATTAAATAACGAGCCGACCCGCGGCATATCATACGCCGCTATTTAGTTGTTTTTTCTACTTTTCAGTTATTCATAATTTGTGAATTTGACACTACCAACGCTGCCACTGAAAATATTTCTTTAAAACACTATAAGTAGCTCGTTAAGGACGATAACCCCCCCCCCCTCCTTCCCCCCCCTCCGTTAAAGTAAACTCCACTTAGTTACCCCCCCCCCCCCCCCCCCTCTACGTTTAAAATTGTTTCAAACTAAATTATCTGCCCCTAATAGTCATTACTAAACCCGGCTCTGTTTGTAAACATTTAGAGTGAACCACTGCTCACCAGACCATGTAGGGGTGGGGGTGTTAGGGAGCGCGTTTACAGCTTGTTTTCTAGCGTCTCCCAGAAGAGAATTTTATAGATTAAAGTTAAAAGTTAGAAGTTCAGATAAAAAAAAATAGACCCTTTCTTCTTGAATCCCAGGCAGAATGAGCCCCAGTGTGGTCTCAACCAACCAAAACTGACCTACTCAATAGAGTAGACTGACCCGGCTCAACTTATCCTATCCAACCTGTAGGCTAACTCAGTTCAGTAGACTTAGATCTAGATCTAGGTACGACTTAACTGAGTAGACATTGGCCCATTTAGTCAACTATTTGTTTTTTTAGTTTTAAAAGTAAATAGTCAAATTTAGAGTTAGTAGATCTAGTACAGCATGCTTCATTACTCATTATTCAATATCTAAGTCTTTAGGCCTAAGTGTTCTTCCTTTTTCTTTAAAAAAATAAAAGAGATGCGCAAGAGAAATTTGCTCAATCAAGGGTTTCAACTGTAGAGAAGTATTATGGACTTCTGTGTCACACATTAGGGTCAGTCATCAGAAAGTCTGCAAGATTACGAGATAAAGGTAAGCATAAAATATGGGCCTATGTGAAATATAACAGTAGTCCTTACAAATACTCTTGTGTCTACAGTCTATGGGTATAGTCATTGAGAAAGCTAGACTATTCAGAAAAGTATTACTATTTGACTAAATTTTATCACTTTTTGTCAGAGAATAGCATGAGTAAATGCAAATATATATTGTTATAAATCTGTGGAAACGCTTTATATTTAGCAACCATGTGATGAGTAGGCCCAATCAAAATAGTAGACTGGAAAAAAGTATTATCATACTAAGCCTCATTATTATGTAAATAAATACCCGGACAGTGAATTTGGTGTCATAAAAGGAGCTTAAATTTTTAGCATGCAATCTCATTAACCCTTAAATGCGCGCAATGTGGCCTTTCGCTTTATAAGTTGTGTAACAGCAAAACCACGATCGTGGCTTGGCGCGCTCTAAGGCTTAAAAATAATTGAAAATATAAAAATCAGATGTAGGCTGCTGTTTAGTATGTATTTGTCATACCACACTTACAGCTAATGTTTTATGAACACAATTTTTCTACTGAACATATAAGCCTATTCTTACTTGCTGTGAGTATTTTCTTTCTAAACATGAATAGTATACATGTTGCTAGTGTAAACATGGTGTTAGGCAATAGTCCTTACCTTATAGACTCTGATACCGGTGGTGGGGGGGGGGGGGGGGATGGAGGCAGAGGCTAATGATAAGAAGTCAGTTTTTCGAATGAGTCAGTTATGTTTATGTTTTTAACTAAAGTTAAATGTGCCTGATTGTCCCCCCTAGGTGATTTGTTTGCACATTACTTGAAAGAATACACAGAGAAGGAAACATTGAACAACTCCACCAAAGTGAACCTGTCAGCATTTGCTCAGAACTTCTCAGCTGTACAGGACTACAGGGATGCTGAGGTGGGCTTGAAAATTTCACACACAATATTTTGTTCTTGTTTTATTGTTTGTGTTTTACATTTAAGTAGGTTTTCACCTTCTAAGTGACAATTTGTAAATTTAACTTAGCTTTGAAAAGTGTTTTTATTTATTTAAATTAATATATTTATTCATGCAGTTTTTAGCACTGATGTAGAAATAATTATTTATTGTCTCTGTCTATGAATAGTATCAATAGGTATTTATCAAACTCACACAATTTTTGATTCTTCAAACATTTAATAAAAAAATAACATTAACTGTAGGTCAAACGCCTGGAAGAAAAAGTCTTGAAGCCAATCATGAACTACGGAACAATTTGTAAAAACATGAAGGTACCTTGAGTGTGTCACATTGCGCTTTATAATACTACATTTTTTTTTAAACTTACAATATTGCCTCCGCTATTTCCTTTATGTGGGATGTCATGGCCTAGCGGTAGAGTGCTAGACTTCTAATGTGAAAGGCATTAGTTTGAATCAGTGGAACATCTCTGAGTGCACCCAACTTGATGGTGATGGTTACCTAACTCACATTAGAAAAAGGCGTCTGGGCATAGTGCTACCATATTATCCCTTCATATGCCAAGGTTAAGAAATATATGATCTGTTCTACCTCTGCCCAATGGATCGTTAGGTCTAAAGAGAAATCTTAACTTTTTTACCTTATTTCCTTTATCCTCCAGTCAAGTGTAAAAGGGAATCAGGCTGCTGCTAAGAAAGAATCAAAACAAATGGAGAAAGTGGCAAAGCTAGAACAGAAGCTTCCACGCAACGATGCAGAAATTGTATCCTTTCACTAAATATCACATTTTTGAAAAAAATTCAACAATTCAGCTGTTTTTTAAAATAGTAATTTGTAATATAATTTTAGGTACTTAAATGATTCCTTTTATATGGTTACAATTAGCTTATTATTGAAACATATTTTTATGATAAAAGTTCCTTAACACATATTCAGTCAAAGGTAAAACACCTGATTGCTTTGAGCTGCCATGACCAGCACTTGATATGGTGTTGTCTTTATTATCTATAATTATAGTTACATTATTTTTAAAATAATTAATTTAAAATGATGAATGTGTGTTAAAAAAGAAAGTGCTTTAATATTTTACTTAGGTAATTAATATGCACGGAAAAACTAGTTTATTTTAAAAGATTTTCTGCTGAATGTTAGTAATTTCTTCCTTTACTTGTAGGCTTACAACGACTTGCAGAGAATCAGACAAGAGAGTGGCAGCTACAGGGAGCAATTGATGACAGAGATTGATGTGTTTGAGAGCAGGAAGATCAATGACTTAAAGGTGAGAGATCTGCTAGTTTTGTTAACTTTCGGAGTCATTAATTTAAACATGAGACAGTGAACAGTTTGTTAATTTTGGGAGTCATTAATTTAAAGGTGAGAAATCTACTAGTTTCTTAATTTGGGAGTCATTAATTTAAAGGTGAGAAATCTACTAGTTTTTTAATTTAAAGGTGAGAAATCTACTAGTTTGTTAATTTAAAGGTGAGAAATCTACTAGTTTGTTAATTTAAAGGTGAGATAGCTACTAGTTTGTTAACTTTGGGAGACATTAATTTTAAGGTGAGAAATCTACTAGTTTGTTAATTTGGGAGTCATTAATTTAAAGGTGAGAAATCTACTAGTTTGTTACTTTAAAGGTGAGAAATCTACTAGTTTGTTAATTTAAAGGTGAGATATCTACTAGTTTGTTAATTTAAAGGTGAGATATCTACTAGTTTGTTAATTTAAAGGTGAGATAGCTACTAGTTTGTTATCTTTGGGAGTCATTAATTTAAACGTGAGAAATCTACTAGTTCGTTAATTTAAAGATGTGAAATCTACTAGTTTGTTAATTTAAAGATGAGACAGTTACTTTAAAGGTGAGAAATCTACTAGTTTGTTAATTTAAAGGTGAGATAGCTACTAGAGTGGGTTTAACATGAGTGTCACTGACTTAAAGATGAGCCAAACTTAAAGATTGGGCAACCATTATAGTCATTTTAACATGCAAGTGATTTAAAGGTAAGTCAAACACTTTAGTGTGTTTAATTTTAAAAGATAAGATAACTAAAGGTAGGTGGGTCTTAACAACACATGTTGATTCAAAAGAGGGTGATTTGGAGAGTAAATAATTAATGATTTAATGCTCTACTTAGATTAAAACCGTGAAAATAATCGTTTGGTTTAGTATACAAGTAACTGAAACAGTGGAGAACATTACTGGATAATGATTTAAATCTGTGCTAAGACTAATTCAGTGGATGCATAATGAAGCCTAAATTAGACTTACTCAGCCAGTAGTTCTGTTCTACATAATTTTAATAAATCATGCATTTTCTTATATCGACATAGTGTAAAGATACTTTTTTTTTCACCGTTGATCTTTACTACAAATAAATAATAAATAATGCTGCCCTTATATTTGATATTTTCACTGATATAACATTTACCTAATTCCTATGCCTTTTTTAACATTATTTTTTACCATTACAACTTCATTGCCAGGTCATGATATTATGATGCTAATTTTAGAACTTGTCTATATGTTGTTTCAGTCTGTCCTGTCCGAATACGTGAAGATTGAGATGATGTTCCATGCCAGAGCTCTCAAGTATCTGTCAGAGTGTTACCAGTCAGTACAGAGGATAGATACAGAGGCTGACATTGATGTAAGTGTTAAAACATGAATATAAGCAGATACCTCAAGTACCTGTCTCTTACCAGTCAGTATAGAGGCTGACATTGATGTAAGTGTTAAAACATGAATGTAAGCAGATACCTCAAGTATCTGTCTCTTACCAGTCAGTATAGAGGCTGACATTGATGTAAGTGTTAAAACATGAATGTAAGCAGATACCTCAAGTATCTGTTTCTTACCAGTCAGTACAGGATAGACATAGGCTGGCATTGATGTAAGTGTTAAAACATGAATGTAAGCAGATACCTCAAATACCTGTCAGAGTGTTACCAGTCAGTAGATAGACACAGAGGCTGACATTGATGTAAGTGTTAAAACATGAATGTAAGCAGATACCTTAAGTACCTGTCTTACCAGTCAGTATAGAGGCTGACATTGATGTAAGTGTTAAAACATGAATGTAAGCAAATACCTCTGGTACCTGTCTCTTACCAGTCAGTATAGAGGCTGACATTGATGTAAGTGTTAAAACATTAATGTAAGCAGATACCTCAAGTACCTGTCTCTTACCAGTCAGTATAGAGGCTGACATTGATGTAAGTGTTAAAACATGAATGTAAGCAGATACCTCAAGTATCTGTTTCTTACCAGTCAGTACAGGATAGACATTGGCTGATGATGTAAGTGTTAAAACATGAATGTAAGCAGATACCTCAAGTACCTGTCTCAATGTTACCAGTCAGTATAGAGGCTGACATTGATGTAAGTGTTAAAACATGAATGTAAGCAGATACCTCAAGTACCTGCCTCAATGTTACCAGTCAGTATAGAGGCTGACATTGATGTAAGTGTTAAAACATGAATGTAAGCAAATACCTCTGGTACCTGTCTCTTACCAGTCAGTATAGAGGCTGACGTTGATGTAAGTGTTAAAACATGAATGTAAGCAGATACCTCAAGTATCTGTCTCTTACCAGTCAGTATAGAGGCTGACATTGATGTAAGTGTTAAAACATGAATGTAAGCAGATACCTCAAGTATCTGTCTCTTACCAGTCAGTATAGAGGCTGACATTGATGTAAGTGTTAAAACATGAATGTAAGCAGATACCTCAAGTACCTGCCTCAATGTTACCAGTCAGTATAGAGGCTGACATTGATGTAAGTGTTAAAACATGAATGTAAGCAAATACCTCAAGTATCTGTCTCTTACCAGTCAGTATAGAGGCTGACATTGATGTAAGTGTTAAAACATGAATGTAAGCAGATACCTCAAGTACCTGCCTCAATGTTACCAGTCAGTATAGAGGCTGACATTGATGTAAGTGTTAAAACATGAATGTAAGCAGATACCTCAAGTACCTGTCTCAATGTTACCAGTCAGTATAGAGGCTGACATTGATGTAAGTGTTAAAACATGAATGTAAGCAGATGCCTCAACTACCTGTCTCAATGTTACCAGTCAGTATAGAGGCTGACATTGATGTAAGAGTTAAAACATGAATGTAAGCAGATACCTCAAGTATCTGTTTCTTACCAGTCAGTACAGGATAGACATTGGCTGATGATGTAAGTGTTAAAACATGAATGTAAGCAGATACCTCAGGTACCTGTCTCTTACCAGTCAGTATAGAGGCTGACATTGATGTAAGTGTTAAAACATGAATGTAAGCAGATACCTCAAGTACCTGTCTCTTACCAGTCAGTATAGAGGCTGACATTGATGTAAGTGTTAAAACATTAATGTAAGCAGATACCTCAAGTACCTGTCTCTTACCAGTCAGTATAGAGGCTGACATTGATGTAAGTGTTAAAACATTAATGTAAGCAGATACCTCAAGTACCTGTCTCAATGTTACCAGTCAGTATAGAGGCTGACATTGATGTAAGTGTTAAAACATGAATGTAAGCAGATACCTCAAGTACCTGTCTCTTACCAGTCAGTATAGAGGCTGACATTGATGTAAGTGTTAAAACATGAATGTAAGCAAATACCTCTGGTACCTGTCTCTTACCAGTCAGTATAGAGGCTGACATTGATGTAAGTGTTAAAACATGAATGTAAGCAAATACCTCTGGTACCTGTCTCTTACCAGTCAGTATAGAGGCTGACATTGATGTAAGTGTTAAAACATGAATGTAAGCAAATACCTCAAGTACCTGTCTCTTACCAGTCAGTATAGAGGCTGACATTGATGTAAGAGTTAAAACATGAATGTAAACAGATACAATTAATAGGTTCCTGTGAGTCACTGACCAGGTGCCAGAAGGGAACTATATGGTGAGGTAGTTCACCCAATTAGCCAGACTTTGACCTCATCAGCAGCTTGATTTCACCTGGCCTTAGTGAGCCACTCATCCAGTACAGACTGAGTATTTAGAGTGTACATATTTTAAATTATAGAGCTACACAATTTGGTAGTACCGGACAGCATGTCTAATGTTGGAGTTCTAGACTGCTAATCCAAAAGTCTCGTGTTTGAATCCACATTCAAGTCAGTGGAACATCCCTAAGTCCACCCAGCTCTGATAGGTACATATCTCACATTAGGGAAAGTAAAGATGACGGCACACTATCTCTTCATATGCAGAGGTCGACAAACATTTGAACTCTATTTCACCTGCCTAATGGATCGCTAGGTCTAAAAAGGAATCTTTACTATACTTACTTTCACAATTAAGTAATAGCATCTCCCCTTGATTTCCTCTATGTAGAGTTCTGACAGGAAAGTTAAACTTTTTTTTTTTAAAAGCAATCACTGATATTTGCGAGCATGTTAGTTCTAACAGAAGTTTTTTTTACATGTCTGACACGAATGCTTGTATTAATCTGACCAAAAGTCTTGTAGCTTGTTTCAGGTTGTAACTGAGATTATAAGCCTATATAATTAAACTACTTTTTGTCTTTGAAAATTTCAGAGTTTCCGGGCGGAACTGGTCAAAGTGTCTGGCATGGCCCAGCCCTTCACCCAGACCCTGACCTCCATGTCCTCCCCTAACCAGACGTCCAGCAGTGGGGCTGGTGCCACCAACTTGTTCCAGTCACAGTATGTTCCACGTCGCAGCGGCATTACGGGGGTGAGTCTAGTTTTATGATACACACTAGAACAGGGGTAAGTCTAGTTGTAAAACACACACTAGAACAGGGGTAAGTCTAGTTGTAAAACACACACTAGAACAGGGGTAAGTCTAGTTGTAAAACACACACTAGAACAGGGGTAAGTCTAGTTGTAAAACACACACTAGAACTGGGGTAAGTCTAGTTGTAAAACACACACTAGAACTGGGGTAAGTCTAGTTGTAAAACACACACTAGAACTGGGGTAAGTCTAGTTGTAAAACACACACTAGAACTGGGGTAAGTCTAGTTGTAAAACACACACTAGAACTGGGGTAAGTCTAGTTGTAAAACACACACTAGAACAGGGGTAAGTCTAGTTGTAAAACACACACTAGAACAGGGGTAAGTCTAGTCGTAAAACACATACTAGACTAGGGGTAAGTCTAGTTGTAAAACACATACTAGACTAGGGGTAAGTCTAGTTGTAAAACACACACTAGAACAGGGGTAAGTCTAGTTGTAAAACACACTAGAACTGGGGTAAGTCTAGTTGTAAACACACACTAAAACAGGGGTAAGTCTAGTTGTAAAGCACACACTAAAACAGGGGTAAGTCTAGTTTTATGGTACACACTAAACTAGGGAAAGTCTAGTTGTATGGTACACACTAAATAGGAGGGGGGATCTATAATTATAGATCTGTATTTATAATACACACAATACTGGGGTAAGTCTAGTTTTATAATACACACTAAATAGGAGTGGGGGACAGAGTGGTCTAGCAGTAGAGAGATGAACTGCTAACCCGTAAGTCTCCAGTTCGAATCTGGGTTCAAGTTGGTAGACCGTCTCAGAGTCCACCCAACTCTGATGGGTACCTAACTCACGTTAGGGAAAGTAAAGGCGGCTGGGAATCGTGCTGACCACACTTCATATGCCGAGGTCACAGAAACAAGTGAACTCTACTTCACTTGCCATATAGACCGTCAGGTTTGAAAAGGGAACTTTATTTTAAATAAGAGGGGGATCTATTTTTATAATACACACTAGACTAGGGTAAGTCTAGCTTTTATTATACACTTAAGTTCCATTTTATTCCATCCATACTGTCTTTACTTAACACTAACATTTTGTTAATTTTTTAAATATCCAGTCTATTTTTAACTATAAGTAACTTTAATCAAGCACTAATCCGTATAAATACATCTATAAGATTAACACTTGGGCTGGTTGTTGTATCAATTAAAATATTTCTGGCTGTATGTGTATTTTTTTTCTTTATATTTCAGTTTGCACCCTGTTCAACCAGGGGCGACATTTACTTCTAGATCTAGTAGCTTTTGTATACATTTTGGATTAAACTTTTTAAAGTTTTATTTTGCGTTTTGGTTGGGTTTTTTTTTTAGAATTTAAATAATTTCTGGTTGTTTTATGGCTTTTTGCATGACTTGACTTAGGCCTCCACTATTTCCTTCCATTTCATCCGATCCCCGGCTATTAATTTCTTTTTGTAATAATTAAGTATCAAATGCAATAATTAATTTTTTAATCTTTTCTTTTCAAGTTTTGCAACAATTTATTAAGAGAAATTTAATAGAGAAATATGAGAAAGAATGCATTTTAATTACACAATTTTCCTAATAGTAATAAAATGTTGTAATGTAGAAGAAAATATAATTTAATTTAAATATTTACATATTTTGTCAGTTTAATTCTATCTCAAATTTTTAATTATGTTATTACTATGTTATTTTCACATATATTTTTAACATACTTCAACCACATTATTTTTATAGAACATGTATGACACTCAAGACTCTGATGATGAAGAAGAAGAAGAGGATGAAGAAGATGAAACCTCAGATGAATCATAAATACAAAGTTGATGATTCTAAACCTACATCTGTGATAAAACGCTATTGCCAGTATATTATGTTTAAAATTATAATTAATAATATTGTGGTCTCTGACTGATTGGTTTTTACAAGCTTTTATTTAACTCACTTCCTCTGTCGTCAGTCTGTCGTCAGTCTAGACGGAAACGCAGGAGTGAAAATTCGGACAGTTCTACTTGACCGATACGATTCACAGTTGGCACGTGGGTCAAGACATGAAGACAATGCAATCTGAAACTAAATTTGACTTAATTGGATGCCTAATTGATTTTTTATGAATTAATTAAAATTTGGACCGAATTAGTAGGCATGTCTAGCCAACCACACCACACGCGTCATCAATAGCTGCGCCATCACGACCACGTAATGGCTGCGTTCAAAAACCATTGCGCGCCTACTGAACGTGATATTCAGTAGGCGCGCAATGGTTTTTAGTCATGTAATTGTAACTCTATTGTAGATAAAACATGTAAAGTACTGAAAAAAAATTCATAAAAAACGTTTTAATAACAAGCTTTTATGTAATGATGCACTAAAAAGTAGAAAATAAATTATAGACTACTATTTAAATAACTATAAAGAAAAGCGTGGGTGTCTTCCTTAACATTAGTAAAGGTATCCAATAGATACTAAAGTGACCCACGCTTTTCTTTATAGTTCTTTAAATAGTAGTCTATAATTTATTTTCTACTTTTTAGTGCATCATTACATAAAAGCTTGTTATTAAAACGTTTTTTATGAATTTTTTTTTTTATGTATTACACGATATCAAAACAATTTATTTATCACAAAAATTGTCATAGTTTCTAAGTATCTGAATTCTTTTTTACATTTAAACTTTAACAAAGTTTTGTGAACATTTAAAAAATGTAATCAAAATCAAAATTTATTAAGTTAATGGTTGAGGATAATTTACTATTCATTTTTACACTCCCTAGATTTTTTTATTGTATTATTATGTATCAAATTTCACTGGACATGATGAATTGAACTTTACACTCGTTAGTGGCTACACATATCCTGAACTATACACAATAATTTCTTAAGTGTAATCACTATGTTACATGTCTACTTTGCTTTATTTATCTGTGATACTTTACTTTTAGTTTATGTTTTTTTTTATTATTTATATCAAATGGGTTATGTAAAAAAAAAAAAAAACTTGACAATTTTTTTTACTAACAACTGTGATAACTAGACTAAAAGTGTTTTTGTTTAAGTTCTTTTTTTTTTTTTTAAACTTTTAACAACAGACATCACAGATATTGTTTTAGTTTAAAATGAAACAAATTTATAAAACAATTATTTGAGATTATCTTTTAAATGGCTTCTGGCCAAACCAGACAGCATTTTCAATTTTTTATTTTTCAACTAATTTTTTGTTTCATTATTTATTCAAATATAATTTATGTATTTTCCAATATCTGTCTCACTGTATGTTAAAATAGTTTAATAGGCCACAACTTGATTAATGTATAGGGTCACATGACCTTAACCCTAGTTAAAATATAGGGTCACATGACTTTAACCTAGTTAAAATATAGGGTCACATGACTTTAACCTAGTTAAAATATAGGGTCACATTACTTTAACCTAGTTAAAATATAGGGTCACATGACCTTAACCTGGTTAAAATATAGGGTCACATGACTTTAACCTAGTTAAAATATAGGGTCAGAGTCAATTGAACATAACTTTATTCAAAGTTAAGGTGAACTGAGGTCACTATACAAAAATATTGGGTTACTTGATCACAACATAATATTTCACTCTGTGATTATCACATGTAGTGTCTTTAGATTTATATTATGAGTAGGTTTTGTACACTAATTTATTGGCTAAAATTCTCTATAACCTAGTGTGAAAGTAAATATGTTGATTCAGCATGTTTTGTTTTGTAATAAAATTGTTAATTTGGCACAAGTAGAGCAAGAATAATCTCTGTTTTTAAATTTCTAATTTTACTACTGATATAAGATGTATAATAATAATTATACTATTGATATAAGATGTTATGTATAACAAACTCAACTGTGATAAGCTTGACCTTACATTGTTACTTTCTTATAGAAGTAAAATTTTTATAACACAAAAATGATTGGTTCATTTATTTATTGTTTTACTGTTAAACTATGGGGCGCTCGCAGATATGGATACCATATTTCAGTTCATCCACGAAGTTGAACTTGTTTAAATTTCAACATAATTCTATTAAGAACGAAGAAGAAGAAGTCTTACTGTAATATTATGTCCTTGTTATATCTATTGTCATGTAGTCTACTTCATATGCCGCGGTCAAAAAACATGAACACTCTTTCATCTTCGGTAAGGATCTTTACATCTGAGAGGGGAGATTTACTGTACTGTCCATTATGAAGAATCTTGTTAGTTTGTTTTAGTTTCTCTTTTTACATTCTTGTATACGAAGTATAGAGGAAGTATTGTAATCGTGCACACAAAACATCTAGATTTGTCCCTGAGTCGGAAAAACATAGTTTTGCAATTTTGTCCGTATGACTATGTCTATGTATGTCTGTGAACACGATAACTTGAGAACTTTTACAGTTAGGTCGATGAAATTTCATGTATGAGTAGTATATCAAATTTGTTGTTTTGTATCAACTATTCAGTGAATTCCGATAACCGGAAGCGGAACTTATTCAACCTTTAGTTTTTCAAAAGCCTATAACTTGAGTACTTTTTCAAATTAAAAAAAAATGAAATTTCACATGTAAGTAAAAAATCTAATTCCCTGCCTTCTGTCAAATTGTAAGTAATTTCCGTTGACCGGAAGTAGTAATTTACGCTATTTCCGATTTCTCAAAAAACGCATGTGAATTTATAAACTAACCAATAATATTCCGCACTATGATACACATTGTTACACCATGAGTTGTCACACTAAGTGACACCCGACCTAGCGACGCCACTGCTAGTGATTGCTAAACAATGTTATTACGTTGCCACAAACACTCTCGTTTATCTCTGCTTTTACATAAATGGCTAATAGTCACTCACAAAGTAGTCAGGCTCTTGTTAACTATTTCGATAACACCTTCAGCCCCATTGTCTATATGAGCATATGTGTGGGGGGAAGGGGGGGGTACTGAAGGTCTTAGTCCATATGATCAGAGTTTCTTCCAGGCATCTCTTCGGGGGGGGGGGGGGGGGCACCGCCCACCTGAAGAAAGTCTACCGCCCCCCCCCCCTCCCCCCGAACGAAATGAAATTTATATAGGAAATATATACTTTTGACAGTGTCCGACCCCCCACCCCCCGGATATTGTTGTCCGTCCCCCCCCCCCCCCCCCCGAAAATTTCAAGTGCACCCCGGAGAAAAAAGTCTGGAAGAAACACTGCATATGATAAATTGAAAATGAGATACTCTTGTGTTTTTGTAGGAAGTATTTTTTTCTGGATAATGTGAACAAAATCTCTGCTTTAGATGAGGGTCAATTGAGTTTTGATCATGGACCAACAGAGAAAGTGTGATAGATAGCGTGTAAAGCTTGTATGGAAGATAAAGGGAAGTTCACAAATGTTGGCGGCCAACTTTGAAGAGATGGGGTCGAAGATTGTTACGGATATGAATACAATTTTTTTTTTTATTTCGTCTTCACAGTGGTCGAAAAAAAACACTAAAAACGTAGGCCTGAAAATTTTCAGAAATTTATTATTTTATATTTGATGATATACAAAAGTTGCAAATGCAGAGAACTTGAAAAATTTTGAGTTGAAAGCTACATTTCTTTTTATTTTCATCAAACCTAAATTATAACCCGAAGCTTCACTTTCGTAAGACAAACATTGATTGGCTGTTAAGAAACTCAGCGATCGACCTTCTTAAAAAACCCACGGATTTTCTGCAGATAAGCCTCGCAAAAAAGTTAACCACCACTCAGAGGCGTAGCGAGGGGGTGGGTGCTGGGGTGCGGACTGCACCGGGTGACACCATTTAGGAGGGTGACACCAAGGCAAAAAATAGCAAAATATATAGAGAAAAATGATAATTTCACTTAATTAAGTGATTAAATCCGAGTGTTAAATAATGTTTTAAAAGGTGCAAATCGAAAGTTTGAGGGGTGGGGTGGGGTGGGGGTGCAAATCGAAAGTTTGAGGGGGGTGTGCAAATCGAAAGTTGAAAGTTTGTCCCCGGGAAGGGTCGCTACGCCTATGGTGGGTGACACCATTAAGTGCCGCACCGGGTGACACCCGACCTCGCTACGCCACCACCACCGCTACCCCCCCTCAAAAAAAAAGATTATTAAAAAGAGGATATGAATATGAAGCAGGGAGGGGCGGGGGGTGCGGACCGCACCGGGTGACACCATTTAGGGGATGACACCAAGGCAAAAAATAGCAAGATATATAGAGAAAAACTTGAGGGGTGGTGCAAATCGAAAGTTTGAGGGGGGGGGGGGGTGCAAATCGAAAGTTTGAGGGGTGCGGGGTGCAAATCGAAAGTTTGAGGGGGGTATGCAAATTGAAAGTTGAAAGTTTGTCCCTGGGAAGGGTCGCTACGCCTCTGGTGGGTGTCACAATTAAGTGCCGCACCGGTGACACCCGACCTCGCTACGCCACCACCACCGCTACCCCCCCCCCCCCCCAAAGAAAAAAGATTATTAAAAAGAGGATATGAATATGAAGCAGGGGCGTAGCGGGGTGGGGGGGGGCGGGGGGTGCGGACCGCACCGGGTGACACCATTTAGGGGATGACACCAAGGCAAAAGATAGCAAGATATATAGAGAAAAACTTGAGGGGTGGTGCAAATCGAAAGTTTGAGGGGGGGGGGGGGTGCAAATCGAAAACTTGAGGGGGGGGGGGTGTAAATCGAAAGTTTGAGGGGGAGGGGTGGAGTGCAAATCGAAAATTTGAAAGTTCGTCCCCGCGAAGGGTCGCTACGCCTCTAGGGGGGGTGACACCATTAAGTGCCGCACCGGGTGACACCCGACCTCGCTACGCCACTGATATGAAGATTATACTTTAGTTTTTAACCCATACCGAAATCCTATCCTACTTTAAGCTTAACCCTAGAGGCTGATAACGAGTTGCTTTTATGGCGTGTTTAAATTTTCAAAGGCTTAGAAGTCAGAAATAGGTCAAGGTTGCGTGTGTGCATTAAATTGGAGCTGGCATAAAGTGGCGGTGCTTAACTTTTCTCGCATTCATTTTTTGCAGTGGTGGCGGGGTTTATCTGGACAAGTATTCGCACTCATAAGTTTGCCAATAAAATATTTAAATAAAATCTTTTTTTAACCACATGATCGAGTTATACCACGTTGCTTTACATTTTCAGGGATAAAATGAAAAAAAAGTGTTGGCTTTTTTTTAAAAATATTTAGTTGGCGACAA